AAACATACCATATCTAGTGTGATATATATATATATATGGTATAAATATAGTATAAAATAAAAATTTGTATGCACTCTGCAAATTTGACTCCTAGAGCCTCAATTCTTTTTCTGCAGAAATAGAAGTGATAAGCCTATCAGTGATTCATGAATATTCAGGAGTATCTGAATGACCAGGTTACAACCAAATATTGCCATGATACACTTCAGAGCTCTTTTGTGATTCCTGTTGAAATGCCACAGGATTACTTCAAATGACAGCTTAATTTTCACTGGATAATAAGTATTCTTTCTATTATGAGGGCATAGACTAATATCAGAATAAAAATAATTGTCCCATATTCATTTCTCTGTGTGTGCTGAATTTCTTTGCAAAAATAATTCAAACTTGAAACAAATTTTTATGATAATAACATGCTGTAATAAACTTGGGCTCTTGAGAAAAACAAAGGATAATTTAATACACGAATGATTTGCTTTACTCAAAATAAGGCAAAATATATCACACTATCATACTGTGAAAAGTTTTTAGCACAGCAAAAGTAGTGAAATGATTCATCATACAGTAAGGATGAGTACAATTAATGGCGTTAGCAGAGGCTGGTTTATTTTGCTCGAATACTACTCTATTTTGCATCTTAAACTACTGGGCAACAAACTTTGTGTGTTACCTCGTGGAATATATTTATCTTTCTCTGTGTGTGAATATATTTATCTTTATTAATTAGTACAAATTCATATGACTTTGGCATGAATTTAAAGTGCTTGGAAGGGAAGTTTCTCCTCTTCCAACATGAAGGACAGAGACAACAAGAGTCTAGAAGCAAAGTTACCACTCGTGAATGAGAACCTAGAATTCATCCATGTAGTTCTTAAATAATGCAGCTAATTGTTTTGAGAGCCATAGTTCTGGCATATTTAAATATATATGTTATCACTCTTGAAGACCATGCAATACTCTGCCTAGGAGTTATATGCATCTTATACTGCCTAGCAGTTTTGTGAGTGTGGCATGTGGAAGTGTGTGTACATGTGCATGTGTGTGCTTTTGTAAAGCATGTCATTATAACATTTTGACATCTTGGGGCCTTGCAGTCTCTGGAAATATGGCCCTTCCTAGGGCAGGAGATTCATAGAGCAATAAATGACTCCCAGTCAGCTCTCCTGTATGTACAAACCTACGTATATGAGCCTACCTCTCTTCCACCTTTTTATCAGGCGCTTACATTCTGGGTCACTCCCCATCTACTCTCATCTCCCCAGGGCCAAGAACCAAACCACCATAGATGCCTGTGTACAGATATTCAAATTAGCCAATCCTAACCCTGCATACCCTGTCTCACCATGGAAAGCATACTAAGGGTCTTGCTTACATCTTCCTTGGTACATCGTGCATGATACCTCTACAGTGTTTGCTCTGTTTCTAGGCTCTGTGAGTAAAAAGTTCTTCCTTCATGCCACTCATTTCTGCATCTGTACATCTTACCCAGTAATACCTGATTCAAATGAATCCTAGTAACCCTTATAATGGTATTCATGTTTTTAATCAGTAAGTAACATTATCAAACCCATCACTCCATGAAACAACAGAGAAATATATTAGAATAATACCTTGGACATCTTTGACTTGGTATCAGTAATAAGGAAAGACATATTGTTGATTTCATTCTGCACAACAAAGTTCTGCTCTTCTCTTTTGAAATTCTAAGAAGTTGCAAAGGAAATGTCAGTTAAAAGCCCTTAGATAACAAGTCCATATAACTAGAGGTTATACAGGTGCCAAAAGTCTCTTCAAGAACAAGTATTAATTTGATATTTAAGACATATGAAGAAAGGGAACAGATACTTGTTGACTATTTCATGAGGTTGCTTGGCTAAGGAGTAAACATTCCAAGAACTGCAAACAAATACGTATATTTCAAAGATGAGACACTTTGGAAAGTTTAAATCACAGAGCTACCAACTACCAAGTGATAGAATGAGTGCTGAAGCCCCCATTAGGCTGATTAATGGGATCAATTTAAAGACGAATTGACCATGACATTCTTTATTACGTTTTCAAAATAAAAATGAATAAAGTAATGTTATGATTTTTAAAAGCAGATAAAATATATGTCAGAATAGAAAGAGTTGTGCATGTGCTGGGCTAAACATAGCCTTTCCAAAGATACCTAAAACTATGATGTGGTTGCTAGTGATTCTGAGGTCTAGTGCTCACTTTGGCAGCACATATACTAAAATTGGAATAATTCTGAGGTCTATATATCTGACACACGTAAATATTTGGGGAAGAATATAACCCATATTATGAGGTTTGTGTTTTAAATATGTAAATGAAATTCAAAAGTATATATTCAGATTTTTTTCTTATTCTTCAAAGTATTAGATATTCATCTAAAAACATACTGATTATAATACATATATTGTTCCAAAATTTTGTCTTGCATATATATTTAAAGAAGCTCCTTTGGTATTTTAGTTACTGATACAGTAGGATATTATTAATTTTATAAGGAGAAATATGCACTTTTAGTATTCTTAGGTAATTTATTCTTGGGCTCCTCCTACTTGTCCATTAGGAAGTATAGATGGAGATCTTAACAGAGTATTTGTTTTATTTTATTTTAAAGGCAAATGATTGCCAATTCAGAGTGGTTCTTTCACAGCTGAAGATGGATTGATTTTTCTAGATTTTTAAATTTTATTTAAAAAACTCTGAGTGATCTAGCACATCACTTTAAGATGAATTATGTAGAATAAGAAATCATTTGCTTTTACTTAGAGGAAAACAGAGGATCTAAAATAATTTCCTATCACATTACAGATGATAAATCTCAGTGTGAAAATACAAATGTACATGGTTAAAGCCATTTTATATATTCTAAGTCATGTTTTATGTTTTTAATATAATTATTAAGTTTGACAGACTCCTTAGATGTAGTTAATAAAAACTTATTATTCTATTATTAAATATAAAGTTTTTTAAAATTATGTAGTGAAAGTGATTTAACTTGTAAAACAATCTGATAACATAAATTAGGACAATCCCTTAGATGGTGAAACTAAGGATGAAGTTCTTATTTTTAGTTTCACGTATTCCCCCTGCCCACAAAGTGATAGAATTATAGTTGATACAAAAACTGTAAGCTCTTAAAATAATTTGGGACAAGGATAAATACCCATGTTTATGTGTATTCTGCCAGTTACTACAAATGACTCATAGAATACCCTAAAATTCTTCCTATAATTAAAACCTTTTCGGATTTAGAAAATACAGTTCTACTTATACAAAGTAGTGAAAATTCACTGAAGATGTACTCTAGAAATTTTTATAAAGGAGATTCCTAGCAGAGACTTTACTTTAAAAGCCAACTGATTCTAAAATATGAGCCAAATCAGATTCCTACAGAAATGAGTGTGTGATGATGAAATAAATTTACACATTAAACCAGTATATTCAAATTGAGACATGAGAACTGCTGGGTTAGGCACTGAAATGCCAAAGGATAGGGAAAGCTAGAGTGTAAAAAAGGCATAGCTCTGAGTAATGCCAATATCACTCTAAGATTTAGGGACAAACCTTAAAAATGCTTATGCAATGAAATTAAAAATCTCTGTGATATCTGTTCATTGACTGATTGATTGCCATATTGGGGATTGAACCCAGAGCCTCACTAATGCCAGGCTAATGCTCTCCGACTTGAGTTACACTACCAACCCTTTTTTTTTTTTCAAGACAGGGTCTCCCTAAATTGCCAAGGCGAGACTCAAATTTGTAGTCATCCTGCCTCAGCCTCTGAAGTAGCTGGGATTACAGGCATGGGCCACTATGCCCAGCCCTTTGTGATTTTTAAAAGATAAATTACAAATTCAAGACAAGGTTTATATTTTCTGAAAATCCCCAAGAGCACCTACCCTCTCTCTTCAGCAGACAAATTTGAGAAAGTTTACAGATAGTTTTACAGATAGTTTAGCAAGGGAGCTGGACACCTGGCTCCTGTTTACAAAACCTTTACATCAGTCAAACACAGACATCATCTATCAATATCCTCTTACATGAGATTTTGACCAGTAGATGAAGACTTCAGCCACCATGCGGAACAGTTCCTCAGCTTCAGGATTAGGTTCTTTCAGCCACTTTGCCCTGGATTGCAAAGTAAGAAAGAAATCTCACTCCCTAAAGCTAATAAATTTTTAAAAATCTTCTTCTCTCCCTAAATTAGAAACTCATAATTGCTTCAAAGTACAGCTATAACATTTTAAAACCTGTAGATACTGTAACTGTCCAAGAGCTAACTTTCATATGTGAAATACTTCAGAATGTGCTTTCTAATTTGGAGATGCTTGGTGAAAATTAATTTACCTATGAGCATCTCATTGTATTATAGCCGTAAACAAGATTATGGCCAAGTAGCCAGTGAAGAATGAAACAATTCAGTAGGAACACATAAGCCAAGGAAAGTAAAAATGAACAAGGGAAATTCACTATTTCTGAACATTATACCTGTTATAGTCCACGAATCGAATCAAGAGAGGGTAGAAGGCATAGAGATCTCTGGCTAATGTGGTGAACTCATCTAGAATAAGCAGCTCAGCCTCAGACATGTCCCCTCTGGCCTCGGCTTTCAGGTGGTCTTCCTCAGCTACCACCGTGGCTGCTTTTTTCTTGAGTTTCTCCATTAAAGGCAAAAAATGAGTTTTCAAGAGCTGAGGTTTCACTTTATTGATGATAGGCTGGGAAAACACTGTTTGAAGATGGACATTAGAATTCTGCTCAATAAAAACATCATTAAAAGTGGGAGAGGTTGTAATGCCAATTCAAATGCAATTAATTAAACTTGCCTCTCCCCCAGTGCCTGATTTCCTTAAGGACAAAACCTACATCCTGCTATTTTTCTGGACCAAAACCTAAATGCATAGTTGCTCTTCAAAAATGGTTGCTGAAATAAATTCAGTGTGCATATATGATGATTAAGCTTGATTGCATCAACTTGATTGGTTCAGGATCTGCCCAAGGGATTAGGAAATACATTCTGTATGTGTCTGGGTGAGTCACAGTGGCATGACTTTAGGTATTGTTCCAGTCCCTCACCCCATCCTCTCTGGAACTGTCCCCCTGCTATACTTCCTGGGTACCATGAACTAAGCATCTTTAGTCTGCCACCCCCTTTTCTGATGATGTCTCTCCTTTGCAGCCTGCATTCTACTGTCTGAATTCCCTTGAACCACAAGCCAAATTAAATCTGTCTGCCTTTAAATCGTAGGTATCACGTATTGTGTCCCGGCAATGGAAAATCTAAAAGATTGATAGCTAATTTGAAATTTTAAAGAAAGACTTTTATTCACCTTGGGAATCAACTATTTACACACAAAGAAATAAAAGTGTTCCCAGCCCTTTCTTTAGAGAGACACACTCTCTGCTGTGCAATCAATGAGAATACAAAGCTTTTGCACTTCTCCCCATTCTCAGCCTATAGAATACTGCTCTTTTCTCTAGTAATGGTTGTAGTGGTTAATGATAGTTCTAATGATATGTATAGGCCAATGTCAAAACAGATTTTCCCTCTAAAAGTAACATATAAACATTGGGGAAAGGTACAAAACAGAACTAAGTTAAAAATCAACCATAACCATTTATCCAAACTAGTAAGGCACTGGTGTATTTCTTTGGAGTTTTCATCAATAGATAAATTCATAAACATTTATATTATACACATATCATTCTCAACTCATTATTTAAGAAAAAAATCTCTTTACTCTCCATGATATAAGCATTTCTAAAGGTTTACTGAAACCTATATCCTTAAAGATGGCACAATGTTCTGTTATGAGAATGTACATAAACTTTTAAACTACATTCTAATTGTTGAGTATTTGAATTGCGTACATTTTTTCGATATTTGTAGGTAGCCTTAACTGTGAATATTTCACTTTATCTTTTGATTGCTCTTCCTGCACTGCACAGGACAGACTGATGGACAAGGTTGCCTAAATATCCAGTTTTATTTTTGTCTCTATCTACACAGTCACTGTTTACTTATTTTATTAATCATTATCCATTGTTCTTATTGATTGATCTTACAAAGATTGTCAAAGAAAATATTTACTTAAAAGTAGTAACTATGTGGAAAGTTATCCAATGTTTGATTTTATCTACATTTTCTTAAACCAGCATGACAAAAACAGTGTTTTTTGAGTATAGAAGAAAATCTGAATGACAATGATGCAGGACAATTCCAAGCTTCTGTACTACCAATCATTTTGGAAATAAATCAGCTGTAGAGGGGTGCAGTTCTTTCCAAATCTTACCTGCCAACCGCTTCATCCAGGCTCCCTCATCAATTCCCAAGTTGTTGTATATGATCTTCAGGATGTTCCCCAGGAGTGTGTTCATGTGCTCCGAGTTCAGTGCTGTGCAGCACATCTCAGACCGCTCGGGATTGTTCTCAGGCCCATGTTCCCACCACCTAGACAGGTAGCTGCACAGCATAGGCAACACCACCTCCATTACGTGTGGCATCTGTGTGTAACGGATCCCAGACTCGGCCAGCTCCACGATTTCTTCCATGAGCTTCTCCAAAGATGGTATATTTGGGCACATGTCCTCCACATTTGGAGGCAGGTTGAGAGCTGCAGAACCACAGGCAGAAACAGATTATGTTCAAAGAAAGAACTAGCACAAGGTGGCGAGTCTCCACTGTGTACAACAGACACGGGCAACCAGTTCACTTTGGGGCTCAGAACTCAGCAGCACCTGCATGCCTTCAGCTGGCCTCTTCAACCTTTGCTAGTGGGATCTGTTTCAAAGGTTCTCTCTCCCAAGTTCCTACCTTATGGTCACCCCTGTGAGATCCCTGAGCAGTCGCTCCTCTACTTTATGGCAAACAAGAATAACCTGTGTCTCTTTCCCCAGTGCCCTCTCTCATGACCTACAAGCCATCTATATCTGGGCCCCCCCAGACCTCCATTTTCCAGTCTGTGAACTGGTCTTGAGCCCCGCTCTTGGTTCCTCCTATATTCCAGCCACCTTCTCCTCCCTAGGGGCCTTGCTCAGCCCTCTATTTTCAGCCCCTTCCCCCTGATGTCTCCTTCTCAGCAACCTCTACAGATACAAAGTTCTCCTGGGGCACATCTGACCACAATAATGATACTTCCACTTTTCACCATGCTTCTCCATCCTGCATCTCACTCACATTCAGTGGTATTTTACACCACGGACCAAATCCCTTTTTCTTGAAACACACTTCTTCCTTAACTCTTCAAAATTGTGCTCATCTTTCCTCTTTGATGAACTTTCAATTGGTTTTCCTTAGGATCTTTCCCAGGAGATTACTAAAACACAGATCTATTCATGTTACTCCCTTTGCAAAGCCTGTAAAAGGATGCCCTTTGCCATTGGCATAATCTCCACCCCTTCCCTACATGGGAAGGCTACTTACTCACTGGCCCACTTTCTGGTTGTGCACTCTTATCTTTGACTCTTTTCTCTTCTGAAAGCTATCTCCAGTCATTGTCAACATGCTTCAAACTTTTCCCGATGTACCAGTGTTTCAGCGTTCTAATTTCAAGACTCATCTTGAATGAGTGGTAGTCAGTTTTTCCAGGTGTTCTTTGCTAAAATTGCTTTTTTGTGACCCTAATATTCTTCATTCTGAATTATTTGCTATTCTTATTACTACTACTTTGGGCCAGGGTCTTGCTATGTTGACCTGGGCTGGTCTCAAACTTCTGGGCTCAAGCAAGCCTCCCACCTCAGTTTCTGAGACAGCTGGGACTGCAGGCACATGCCACCATGCCTAGCTTTTATTCTGCAATTCATCACACATGTTTATCAATCTTTCACCCTCTACTGGAACTAAAAACTCCCTAAAGAAAAGAATGATACATTATTCACTTTTAGAACACCTCCTTTACTTCCCAAAGTGTATATCACAAACCCGACTACTGATCAGTTGATTAAAAGGTGAATAAAATCATTAAATTTAATTCTTTTACTTTGTTATGCAAATTTTATGGAAACATATGCAGGTAAATTACTGCTTTGTATATTCCATTACTTGTCATAGGATAACAAATACTCTGAGTTCATAGTCAAAAATATTAACAGCTAGAAAAGTCTTTTTTTTTTTCCAGTTCCAGGGATCAAGCTCAGGACATTGCACTTGCGAGGCAGGTGCAGCACCACTGAGCTACATCCCTGGCTAGAAGTCTTAATAAGACTTCATGTTTATCTAGATGATTAATAATTTAACTCAACCTTTTTTTTTCAATTCCAAGTCTTGAATCTAGGGCCTTTGCATTGGGCCTTTTTAAATTTGAAGACAAGGTCTCATTAAGTTGCCCAGCTGGGTTCAAACTTGCATTCCTCCTATTCCAGCCTCTCAGAATGCTAAGATTACAGTTGTGCATCACCACTTTCAGTTTTCACCATTTTTTCACTAACTGCTCACAAATGTATTATAGAAATTATGTAGAAAATGTTATGCCCATTCAACATATTTTTTCATCTGTTATATGAAATCAGTACTTTAAGTAAATTAAATAATAATTATTCAAGTCACTGAAAAGTACCTTATTTGATAGGCTCACTGTAAAATCAGTGTAACCAACCAACAGCGCTCACTAAAACATCAGTTACATAAAGAAGCTCATAGAGAGACACGCACTTACGAAGAGCAGGTAGATCTTGTTTATATTTTGAGAATTATTTTGGGTTATTAGAAAACAAACAAAATATCATCGACCTTATCAGACTTAGAGGAAATCCCACAAGAAAATCCTATGGTAGGGTATTTGTGCATAGTGTTCAGGGACTGAAGACTTTGCTTTTATGGATTTAAAGTGCAAGCTAGAATAGCCAGTTTCCAATTTACTTGTTCATTCAACTCAATTCAATTCCTAGTTAATAATTCCAGTTAGGTTCTCAAAGGCCAACTACTGAGATCATCAACTATGGCTATAAAAGCTTTACAATTAGGATAAGTTTTTTAAAAGGGCCTATCTACCAAGCAAAAATTCAGATTTTCCAAAATTAAACGCAATGTAATGCATGAGTAGATGTATGTAGATACCCATCCAGTATGCATGTAGACACATGGATCTGAGGGATACACATGCTTGGGCCAGGTACAAAGTAAAGTTGAGTTTGTTTCTCAGATTCATTTTTTAAGTTTTTTAAATAATAAAACACTTAGACAAACTATTAAAAATCATAGAATAAAGCTATTCTAAAAAGATAGATATGTTAGTCATGAAGGCTATGAATCATAAAGGGTACACATGTGATGAATTAGAATGCCACAACCCTTGCTGAACGACTGCAGGAGATGAATAAGAAATCAGACTGACTTTTTTCCCCACATTTGCTGATTATTTTGCCTTATTCTCAAGAATGAACATTTGTCTCTGGCTCATTAACTTAGAAGCAATTACATAAATTTTCTTTCAGAAACATTAGGGGGCTAGTATACAGCATTCTAAAATATGTAACACCAAACAACACCACTTAACAACAAAGAGCAATGTTGTTAAATCATAAGGTGAAATAGGCCATTAAGAATTACTGCAGGAAAATACAGCAAATGCCATTAAGTTTTAGCTGTACGTATTTTCAAAATGTTACCTGTTCTCTCTCGTGAAGACTTAGTATTGTAGATGGAGTGAACATTATGTTTGTCAAGATGAGTTTCCAAAAATGCCACTGGAAAGGCACCAGCAAAGGCAGCCAGACATTCTCCTAATGCAGAGCGTTGTCTGCAAGTAGAAAATGCTTATTTTTGTCTCCCAAGGAATAACTGAAGAAGTTATTTTAAAATTGGCATGTTTGACCAGAAAAGGAACAATAATACTGTAATGCTACTCATAAAGTAATGGCTTAATCCAATTTCTATATTGTAAAACATCATATGAGTTCAAAAACAAAACATGCTCCTCTTAATAAAAGCTAAATTATCTGTTAGTGAAAAAGTTAGAAACAATACAGACCAAAATAACAAGATAAAACAAAATGAGAAAGTACTGGGTTTTTTTCCTCCTACAAATTTAAACATTTTCATCCCTCCCTTCTTTCCCTCTCTTTCTTCTTTTCTTTATTTAGGTGAATGAACTACTGAGGAAGAACTCTTGCTGGGTGACTAACTGGATTCACAAGTTTAAAAATGGAGCACAAATACTAACATACTAATATATTCTTTGCAAATGTACCACAGAAAAGTAATTTCAAGATAGCTATAGAAATGCTAAGACAAGATAGATACTAAATGCTATTGAAAATATTTAAAATTGATATATCATTTACAGCAGGAGGAGGCTGTTGAAGAAATCAGACTATGATCAATTGATCTGGGATATGATCCAAGGCTCTTCCTGCCATTGATATTAATTCCCTCTCTCCATTAGTAATCTGCTTAACCCAAGACTTTGCTGGCACATTAAGCTATATAAAATAATATGAAAACTATTTCAACATATTATAAACTCCTTTGAAGATTTTAATAAAAACCTTCTTAAAGTTGATATAATCAAGAAAACATTATTTAATTCTCATAGGATGCAGTTGTTAAATTTTTGAAGAATAATCATATGTCACTTAGCAATAGGGTTATGTTCTGAGAAATATATTAGGTGATTTTATGATTGTGCATATTTATTAGTTATGAGTTTTAAAAGTCACTCTCGAAAAAATACATTCCTGATTTCTTGGTTCTCTATACTGGTGCTTATTCATAGAAAAAATCATAACTTGACAGTATTGTATTCATCGGATTACTGTTTGTTAGGTTGTAGTTTCTCCCACCAGATATAAGATCCATGAGAGTGGGGAATATCATGTTCACTGGTGTGTCCCAAGACCTGGCATTTAATTAATACTTAATGAATGAACAGTAGGATTAAAAAGGTAAATATAATACAACTGAAAGCATGAAATATCTATAACAAATATTTGAATTTTACCTGCTAAAAGTGTACTATAAACTTTTTAAATCATAAAACTAAGGAGAAAGAACAACAAACAATTGATAAATTTGTTTACATAAAAATTCAAATTTCCCATGTCATAAAACACCATTTGTACATAGTGTTTTATATGTTAATAGTGCAAAGTATAAAAATGCTTTAATTTTTAAAACAGGAATATAATAGCCAAGAGATTAGCCATTTTAATGAACAAAATGGTTATTAAGACAAAACATTAATAGAAAAGTAACAGATGAGAAAAGATAATAAAATTAAGAAATACAAATAACAAAGTAAATATGAAAAACAGCAAGTAACTGGTAATTAGGAAAATATATTTAAAAATAAAAATAGGACCCCAGTTTTAACTATTATATTTGTAAATAGTAAAAAAAAATCATCAGAAATGAGAGAACGAGTACTTGATTATAAAAGTTGAGTGTAAACTGCATCAATTTTGTGAAAAGATTTTGAAGTATCATAATAATTTCTTATATGCACGCTTTTAATCTAGAATTCCAAATTCTGAGACATAGCTAAGGAAATAAGTATATATACATACAAGAATCTATGAACACAGTTCTAGCATTTTTTTATGTTAGTGAAAAAGAAAAAATATCCTACCTGTCAAAATAAAATGTCACTACAATAAATTTACTTCCTTGGTCTGAAGTATTTTATAAATACAAAAATCATATGAAAGTAGAATTTAATATAAAATATAGCTATAATTTAGAAAATATTCACAGAGAAATAAATTATCATTGTCCACTCATCTAAGTTTATGTTTCTATGTAATTGTCACCCTATTTCCATTATTGTAGCTTTAAGAGCTTTAATATTTGGTTGGTTGAAAACCCTTTCATTATTGTTTTACTTCCTTTCAACATTTTGCTGGCTAGTTTCATGGGCTTACTCTGAAACAAACTTGCAGATTATTTTGTCAATTTCAATAAAAAGCAAATTTCTTTTTGAAAATGTGGTGCTATTAATTATAGATTAATTTGGGAAGGCTTTACAAGATGAGATCAAAATATATGGAGAATATTTCAATTTTAAAAATTTATTATATTAAAAAGATACATTAACATTAATCCTTCTGAAAATATTCCCCTAACTTGAAACATATGTATTCCACTGTTCTTTCCACTTTCTGAAGCAGTTCTGGTGTCTTTTCGAGGTGAGAGGAAAAATATGGTGAAGGAGAATGTTGTTACTGAGTGCCATGCAACGGAAAGGCAGGCTTATAAAAACATTATGCTGTGTCCTCATCCCCCTTATTGACTGGATCTGGCATCATGTAGTTTCTGGCTCACCCCCAAAATCAAAATAACCATGAAAGGCAAACATTTTGAATCAATTCAGAATGAGGCAGCAACAACATTGCAATTAAATATACCCAGGAAAGGGGATGTCCAGAACTGCTTCAGAAAGTGACAAGAATATGGGATAAGTGTGTTTGAAATGAGGAGGAGTACTTTAAGGGAGACTAATGACAATGTGTTCTTTACTATAATACATTAAACATTCATCCAATAGTATTTTGATCACACCGACTACGCTATCATAATGTCTGCTTATTTTGTCTACCCTGGCTTTCTTCTCTGGTTTTCTGACATTTCTTATTGAAGTTGCCAGTGTTCTCTTACTTTAAATTCAATGCAGTGTCTGTTCTTACTTTCCCTGACTACAGCATTTGGTAATATCAGTCTAATTTCTCTAGAAACTTGAGAACATACAAAAATAAAACTGATTTTAAGAACTACTTTGTATTTCTGATCTACAATGAGAAACTGAACTAGCAGATTTTTTTCAGAAGATTCATAAGCACTCTGTTTCAACTTTAAGAACGGTTTTTATCATTATTGTTTTTACTTTTTTGAATAATGCCACTATCCTTTAACAATTTTATTTAGCTTAAATATTGCCTAATTACTATACTCTCAAAGAGCTTAAAGGTCTATCTGGTTTAGTTTAGAAGGATAAAGTTATAAAATGAAAAGTCTCGAAACATCTATTAACAGAAATTTAAATTTTCAAATTCTTACCTCTCCACATAAATACTCTTGCTGGTTCCCAAAGCATATAAGCTAGTCAGAATTCTATAACAAGACACCTGCACATCTTCCACTAAGGAAAAAGAGAATCTCACTTAAAGCAAAACCACTTATTATAACTCTCCTGAGAAAGATGAGGCTAAAAAATTCCTCATTAAAGACATTCTAATATTTTAACATTTGGAAAAAGCAAAATAAGAACAGATATGTAAAATTAAAAAAACATTTTTTTCTCAACATTCTTTTCTTTAGGGAGCTGAAAATATTCTAAAGAATATGCTGTGATGACCCAGAATATTCTCAGAAACAATTTCTTTGTAATTTTTCTCTAGGTATAAGCATAGGAGATTTAACCACAAGAATATCTTTATAAAATCACAAGAATATCTGCAAGGAGGGGGATCTAGGCAGATGTTGACTCTTGTTCTTAAGGCACGTGAGAACTGCATCGTTTGTCATAACTCTCAAATGCTAATGAGAATACTGGGTGGAGCAGTCTGTTAGTTCTTTCTCAAATGACTTGACTGTTAAGACATCAGTCATTTACTCTATTTATTAAAAGTAGAAAATGAAACAAAATCTTATAGATGATCTATTATCCAATAAAATACATTTACAATTCTAAGAAATCGAAGAACTTTGAATTTCTAATTTTAACTTAGCTACCCTTTCCTGGTGGATACATCACGACAGGAGTGAAGAAATAAGCCTTGACCTCAGACCTGTTTCTGAGTACACACTGTGCTGGGAGCAATGCTCCTACTGGTTAAACCAAAGTTTTCAAACTGGTATTTGTGGCAGGCCCTGAATAACAATTTTCACAGACTGTTGCCCACCACCTGAGGAAGCCACAACATGGAGGTGTGCCTAGGTGGGCCCCATGTTCAGACCAGCAGCAAACCAGGAACTTAGTCCAGCTCGTGTTTTATGTTTTCCACTTAATCTTGGGAAGTCTGTAGATACTTTTTGTAACTACAGAATTCCAGCTAAAATCGATTAAGTCCTCCATGAAAACTGACTAAAACCTAGGAACCAAAGGTAATTGAGTCCTCCTAGCAGTCCAATCATTTAGACACAGACTTTGTCTCAGTAGTCTGCATACTGGTTGGTAGTATAGCTCATGAAACAATTTAAAAATACTCAATGGGTCATGTCATATGGTCCAAACGCATTAGAAAATGTAACTGAAAGAAGCAAAGGAGAAATAGATTTTGGAACCCATACTTCAACAATGTAGAAGTTACTGTCTATAACCAGTGCTTTACCAGTCTTCTCAGTGGGCCCATGGGATTCAGAGATCTATCTCTATATAACTGGTTCCTATAATTCAAATGTCAAAGTATAATTTTGGGGGAAAAAAAGGCATTTTAATGTATAAGCAAGTTCTTGAATGACCCAGGTGTTGCTTTTACAATTATACTATCTCAAAAATGAAACTCTTAAGTAATAGATTTTACATACATATTAGATCTTCTCCAAACTGATGCTGGCCAATATGTTCAAATAAAGATGACAGCATTGGCAACAGTGCCACTGTAGTGTAATTGATAATCTGAGTAACTCCCCTGGGTTGGTTTCGGGTGTGGGTGAATTGGCCCTGTTTAAGGTTTTCCATAGTCTTCTCCAGATCCTCCGCAGCATTGTCCAGAAAAGCTCGGAGTGCACTTTTAACACTCTCCAGCCCAGTCTTCATCACAGTCCTGGAAAATTAATATGGGAGAGCTTGTACCTTCCAATGGTGCGAATGAAATGCAAATATGTGATCCTATGTTATGTTTATTTCTCCATTACAGCATCCACTTAGTCAACCAAACTTTTATTTACTTTTTATTTTTGCAGTGGTGGGGATGAAACCCAGGACTTCAAGCATGCTAGACAAACACAGTACCACTGTGCTACATCCCTAGCCCACTACATTTTCAAATTAACTCTACAACAGTTTTTTTCAATATATTTGAAGTTACAGGAATATTGCTGTGTAAGTTGCCTTTCTCAGGTGGCTTCATCATCAACTTCATTAAAGATCTCCAAGCAAAAGGCTGTGTGAGTACTTTATGCTCTCAAGTTTTGAGATAGTTATAAAATAACTGATACAATACAATTTGAGCCAGTTAGCTAATCCCAAATCCAACCAAATAATATTTCCTGAGACACTGAGCATGAAAGCATTTAATGCCAGCCTAAACCATGTCACCAAATGACAAAAAATATCCTTTATAGGAGACATCTATGAGCTAGATTTTTATTTATCTGAGATATTATATGAGTTAAATGTATAGCTTAAAGGTTGACATAATATCATATTAAATAAGCTAATTTTTTATTTGGTCAAAAGCTCAATTTCTCATCAAGTCAACAACAGAGCAGAGTAGGAAGGATACCAACTTGGGACCTAGTCTGCTTGCATGCTTATGCTTACCATGCAATCTTGAGCGTTACTTTACTCATTTGCAAAATGAGGGTAAAATTCTCATATTTTCCAGAAAATTAAGATTTATTATGAATGTTGAACATGTCTCACATCTTGGAGCTACTCAGACCTCTAAAGCTGTCACTGTACAATTCTTTTCTCCCATGATACGTTCCTGCCTCTGCCCTCAGTTATATTCCTGGCTGCTATGGAAATTACTTTAAATTTAAATAACCTATATATAAAATCATATAAGTAAACTGCCATTATGTCAATAATTTACAAAAGATTTTCTTTTTACTTACACTAAAGTCTTCACTACAATTCAAAAAAAAAAAAAATCAAGACCCTGGGTCCTTCTTAGCATTCTTATGTATCATTTGTACATTCATTCATTTAGAAGAAAATGTGTCCATTTACCTTGCATCCAAGGTCTGACCCAAAATATGAAGACAGTTGACAATTGAGGTTGCATCATTTCCTGAAGGGGAAACAAAAGGCTGAATCAGTTGTCCTGAAAATTTATCAAGGTACCTCTTTTCTATTAATATTTGTGTTGCAAAAATTAGTTAATGGCGTAATTGAATAACTCAACTAAAAACTTTTTAATAACCAAATTTGAAATCATGCAGTTTTTCTGCTTAAAAGTGGTTATGCAAATGTAAGTAGAAAAGCAATAAAGCATGTCTTATCAAATAGCTGACATGCTCAAGAAGCATTCAAAAGCACTGCACAAAGCTAAAAGAACTTTAACTGAATTATTTAAGTATGTTCTCCCTCCCCACACTACCTCATTTTATTTTTAAGTTATATTGTAGGCAGATTTTTAAAGTCAGCTCTTAACCTTTAGAAAATGAGTTGGGTTAAGTTTAAACATTTAAATTTCACTTTAATTACCCCAGCTGTCTCTCCTTTCTTATTTCACTCAACTACCTTAAGATGAATTAATTTGCCTGAATTTTATTGCAGGAAGATAATTTGATTTGCCTGAATATCGTTGGTCTTTGACAGAAAGGAAACACCTTGTAAAATCAGCACGTAAAAAAAAAATCAGAGGTTGAACAAATAAAACAATACTCTTATGAGATATTTGAAATGGGAGTAACTCTTCCTGAGAGTAAGGTAAGATTCACTTGTTTGGGTTGGCATGCTTTATTAGAGTTTATGGAAACACTAATGATACAGGTATTGTATATATTTTATTTTTTGATAGGGATACAAAAAAGTAAACAATGATGAATCCGAAGTACTAATTTGATCACTTCAATATAACTTGATAGTATCTGTTCCTCATTCTATACTTTCATTATATACATGCATGCATATGCACATACACACACACACACACACACACACACACACACACATATACATCGTGTTCTGGGTGCCGAGGGTAACAACTCTTATTTCAACAAAAGCTTTAAAACACTTGGAAATGTTATATTCTTTATATAAAATGTATCCTAAAAGACTTAAATATACATGGAAATTAATAATTATCTTAGAACATGGCCAAGCCAGGTTAGTGAGAAACAAATAAGAAAAAATTAAGGTATTTATTTCTGAGACTGAGATTTTAAAGAAAATGTCTCATGAACTTTGTGTTCTGAATCTCAGAATTTCTGGTACTAACAAAGGTAAAATGAACAGAAAGGCAGTATTTGTTATTTGCCTATCATCTATTGGCAGAAGCCAGCCCCATGATATCTACTATAACCCTTAGATATATTATTCACTTAATTGTTTCAACCAGAAAACATTAAATACTGGGCTCCTTCAATTTTGGGTTTTGTTTTTCTTTTTGTTTTAGTACTAGGAACTGAACCCAGGGCCTTTGCATCCTCCCCTTTTTTATTTTGAGACAGGGTCTAGCTAAGTCACTAAGTTGTCCAGGCTGTCTTCAAACTTGTAATCCTCCTGCCTCACCTTCCCAGAGCTCTTGGATTATAAGGTACACACCACCCATGCCTGGCTTCCAGTGTTCATTAAGAAATAAAATAGAATCCTTGTACTTGAATTTAATAGAGATAATGAAAAGGAACCAATAAGCAAAAAACAAAAAACAACAACAAAAAAGAAAAACCAAACTCACCATATAACATATTAGGCCACAAGGAAATACATAATTATATAAATAGAATACAAAAAGCAACAGGGATTAGAGCAATGGGCTAGAATACTGAGAGGTCATGAGTCTCTCCTTGAAGTGGCATTTGAGCAGATTTAAATGTCATGAGGCAACAAATTACTCATGAATATGGCTGAGAGTAGGGCCAGATACAGGAAGAGCAGGTGTAAAGGTCAAGGTAAAAACTGAACCTAGTGTTGCAGGCAAGTACATCACAGTGGCTGAAGCTGTGAGACAAAGGGAAAGGAAGAGAAATTTAAGGTACAGAGTTGGGGAAAAGCCAGGTTCTAGAACCTTGAAACCAGAGGCACTGAGGAAATTTTGAAAGTGCAATAGGAAAGTACTCTTAAGTTTACCAGCGAGGTGGGATAGAATAAAATTTCTGTTTTAAAAGGAGTAATTCACAAGGTACACAATTCTGAAAAAGCAGGAATAGGGAGTGCAGAAGCTGAAGAACTTGACGGATGATAGCAAATTTGGAGTAGGATATTACTAGCAGTGAAGACATTAAGGATATGTTTTAAGGATTTTCTTATGGATTGAATGTGAGATGAGAGGGAAAAGAGGCAGGGATAACATCAAGGATTTTTGCCTGAGCAGAAGGTGGAATGGTGGTAGCATTCAGTGGTGTGGGGGGAAGCAGTGTGTACATATGGGGGTATGGGGGTATGGGGGTATGGGGGTGCCCCCTTGCTTTGGGCATGTTAAATGTGATGGACCTATTAAGATGTGGAATAGGCAGATAGTATAAAAAACTGGAATGCAGGGATACATTTGGACATCAAAAGTACATAAATAAATTTAAAAACCACAAATCTCAATAAAATTAGTCAACAAAAATACAGAAGAAGGTCATGGAACCGTTAGTGTTTTGAAACATAAAAGATAAGGAGGACGCAGTTCAGAAATGAGAGAGAAAACCCGTAGGGAAGAAGGAAAATAATACAGCCTATCAGTCTATGCAGCTACTGTTCAGGGCCAGATCAAAGAGCCTGGTCCCTTGCTCTTTTCTTAAAACATGCAATGCTTTTTCTATCCCATTCTCCTCTGATCTAGTGTCTCTAGTTATAGATTATCAGTGTTTGTACTTTATGCTGAAGATGAACCACATCCTTTTCCATAGAAGTGGCTGGAGGTCCTTTAAATTTCTACTCATATAAGCCTGAGAGGTTGAGATTCTTGTTTACTTTGTCTAATAGTGTCTAACCCATAGCAGGCACTTGATTAAATATTTATAGAATGACTCTGAGATACAAAAGTGGGAAATTGCACTAGTGGCCAGAAAGTTCTGTCAGTCAAATGAAAATGTGTACTGGGAATATGAGATTTCTGTGATTGTTGACACTAACAAATATAAACTCCATTTATATTTCTTCATACCCCATATTACATACAGAACAACTTTAAATGGAATCACCTCAATGTAAAAAATGGCAGGAAAAGGACCTGAAAGAATGTTAAAAGAAAGTATTGTCTTCCACATTTTAATTTATAGTCCAAGCAAAAGCATCAACTCCTTTAGCATAGGTAAGGAGCCAGAAATGGTGAATCTAGAAAAAAGAAAGCAGTGATTAAGGTTTTTAAGTAAATATAGCTCTTCTTAAGGCTACCTACATCTCCATAATGAGAAATGTTAATCATGGTTTTAGTAAGAACAGGAAGGCTAATAAAGTGTGGTAAGATGGTAAAATGTTAAAATGGTGATTGAATTTTCATATCCTTAAATATATATGAGGGCTTAAATGCTCTGAAAGTGGTCTATTTGCTTTTATGGTTGTGTGTTTATATCAGCATGTGTTGGGTGTGTACATATATATGTGCATATATAAGCACACAGCTAGATAATGAGAATCCCAGCACATACCTGATTTGAAGGACAAACAACATTGGGTCACTAATAATGTTACAACTCTCATACTATAATTTACTAAATAAT